CATGAAATTACCGTTTATTTTAAAACGATCTGACCGCTGTTAAATAATTTCCGCTGAAGATCAACAAATTTCAATGGTAGCTCATTATTATATTATACATAGTATATAATGTACCTATACTTACAATCGCCACTTAGTGAAGAACCGTATCCGGAAGTTTGCCGAAGTAAAATCAAATGTTATCGATAACTACGTTAGCTAATACTTAATTTATATCATTCTTCAGTTTTGGTCATATAATTTAATATATTATTATTTATGACAGCCGATCATTGCAATATATTATTATACGCCATGGTATAGATGTATAGTGTATCAATATAACTAAATATATATTTTTTTCTATAGAAATATCACATATAGAATAAGTTTGAAGTATTCATTCTTATTTTTATTTAATTTATATAATATATTTTATAGTAAGTATAATTTTTTTATAGACTCAAGTGAATATTATCATTGTTCATTGGTCATTGGTGTGTTAGTCATGAGATAGGAATATTATAGTTTTATCAAGTTCTCGTACTCCTGGAAAGTATAAGTCGAATAAGGCGCAAATAAAATTTTTTTAAATAAGCGTACAAATATATTGTGAGTAAAAATATTTTTAAATTTAGAAGTTTCTGTACATTATTTATTCAGTGTTGCAGAATTAAATATCGTTAATATCGTTTTATTTTCGTTGATAATATATTAGTATGTATAGTTCATTTTAAATGATCTCTTAGCTTACACAATTTCGTCCTGATTAATAATAAATTAGCAAGTGTTGGGTTTAGATAAACTTTAAGGCTTGTATGTCAATTATAAATATAAYATATTTATACAAAMCTCAAATATTTATTTAAGTTGATATTCCATTAGTCTGAACATTAGTGTTCATAATTATTATAGTTGAATCAAAATATTATTTTATGATTTTTGAATTTTTAGTATATTATGCTTACAATATACTTGTTATGTCTAAAATGTATTGTAGGTTGTCGTTACGTTACGTTACGTTATCCCTATAAGGCTATAAGGCACTTAATCCAAAGTAATTTATTGTATTGGGTAATGGGTAATGAGTTTGCCATCGTATTTTTGTGAATAGCTTAATTATTTAGACTGAAATAATGGCCTTGTAACCATACTCTTGTAACAATTCTGGATATAGTTTGTCAAAAACTAAACCTACGAACATGGCTATAAACAAATGACATTTCACTGGTTTTGAGCACACTAATCGCACAYACTCGCAATGACCAAATTACTCATGAAGGGTCATTGTCCAYTGATCACCATATAAACCAATCAAAAATGTACTAGGTAAWCGCTGTTTATGCACATCCTAACATAAGCGTTGAATTAGTATGATACAAATCCCTAGATGACACGGTTTTATGTTAACAATTTTTAATATATTTCTTACATAATAAGTATATAATAATGTTTATAGATTATATATTGATTCCAGTATGCTCGATTAGATGCACTGAACAAATKTATGTACACAAGTGAAATAGAAACCCCTGACAAGATTTAATAACTTTTTGTCTGATATTAAAAATATTGATGTTGACAGTACTTGACATTAAACAATATTTCAACTTTTTTTTTTCTTAATAATTTATACACGTCCTTTCATTACAATTACAGAATAACATTTTTTTATTCATATTACCGACAATTTCAAATTTGAAAAATTGTTAAATTTTTTTTAGGAACATTCAAAATAGCCAATTTGTAAATCGAACTTTTTGACAAACTTTCATAGTAAACACGTTAATTGAAGTAAAGTAGTTTACTTTTGACAATTTTAAAAAATATATATGTTTTTGGAATTTTCTTTTTGGCAATTTTCTGATATAAGTATATTTTTTAAAATTATTTAATATTCATATATTTTTAATAATTTTTGTCATACATTTATATTAATAAGGTAGTATCATTTTTGTTGTTGTTAGATGTTACTGCTATTCTATATAGTTCAAAAACTGATTTTATAAAAGTTAATAAAT